TAAGTCATCAAATTCATGTACACATATTTTGGGGCTATTCAATTATTTAGGAGTGAATAAATTACTCAAGTTCATGAAGACGTATTTATTTTCAAAATTATTCATTTTATCATAAATTATTCTATGAGTATATAAATTATTAAAGATCATATAATTTAAGAACTATTTAATTATTATAGTAGAAAAATTATTCGAATTAATGTACATTTATTTAATTTCAATATTATTCATTTAATCTATGATATAACGCCATTTCAAAATGCTTTTAAGTGATAAAAAAAAAAAAATCTTGCGAGAGAAGAATTGTGGACTTTCAAAATGAATATTTCACAATTTAATGGAAATTTACCGTTCCTTAATGGTCCATTTGACAGGACATCCGGACTTTTTTAAGAAGAAACAGTTTTGTACATATGGAAAAATTCATACATACCTCACAAATACAAAATATTTCATTTTATACTACTATATACTAATATATAAACATAAATTATTATATAACTCAATAAAAATACTACATTTACTGTGAGAGAAACTTTCCCAGTTTTCTTTTGTAACTGAAATGTCGAAGCACAATCACAGGGTGTAATTAGTAGAATATGTCATCCTTTTATAGTATAAATTTGACGATTCAAATGCAAGTACCTAATCTAGAAGAGAGAAGTATGGATGATTATAGTAGGTTGATGTAACACAAAAAAGAAGATTTTCATCACGAATCTTGTTCTTAATGATATCCAAACTTGTCTAATAAAGTACATCAGACACGGACATAAATGATCTATCCATGGTGAGTAGGAAATTATCTTGTCCACTGCTGATGTGGGCATGTGATTTTTGACAATTCAACGTAAAATTGTCAAAAATTGTAGGTTTAACCACTTTAGCAGTGGGTATATTCTATTCTACCCACCATGGGTAAGAGATCATTTCTACAATCACAAAAACAAAGTGAGCAGGAACAAGTACTCAATCCTCTAGCGCAGTCTGAAAATTTTACACATCGAAAATTCAAATCTGAATTAAAGGTTAAAAAGGACTAAAAAGTCATTACCTTATTTAAACTAGATCATTAACCAAGCCTCCTTAAAATCACCAAAGTCAATCTTTCTTTTGCACCTTTGCAGCAACCTGTTCTTCAGTCAATGGTAAATAATAGATTCTGGGGATGGTTTTGGTTTTCCGGAACAAGTCATCTAAAGTAAGAGTTGGGGGATCAACTTCCTCTGGAACTGTTAATGGTACCTGGGATAACTGCTCATTCAGCCTAGGTGCACCAGAAGGAGGAATCTCCCGTGATAGGGGATGTCGAGGCTCGGACTGCTTGTTTGGCACCTGTTGGAAAGGTTTTGCTGGCTGGCTTGGACTCTGTATTGGAACCACCAAAGGGCTCGTGCTTACAGGCAGCACAGCAAACTGTGGGGGAGACTCGATTCGCTGTTGCACTTCCTCAGGATCAACAAAATCTGCAATCAGGAGCCGCCCAACATTTGTTGGCCACTGGAGGTTGTAGACAGCATTTCGAGTCTCAATGCTTTCCTCCACCGAAGAATACTGCAAAGGGACAAATGTCAAACAATTGGATAAGGTCACTCATAGCTCTACTATGTTTTATTAACAGGTTTCGAGTAACATTCTACTAGCCTAAAGTCGTAAAGATATGAGATTCTGAAATTCTTTTCGCAAGTTTGAACCATTTTACAGCAACATTTGGATGCAATTAACTTTATGCAGTTCAAACAAAGGCTAGAGCTCCACGATGGTGCCTACCCCACTTCCACAAAAACCAGCAAAGGAAAAGAAACAGACAAAAAATTTACGGAGAACAAAAAGGAGCAGATTGGGAGTGGAAACAAGGTTAGGGGATAAGAGAGAGGCAGAGATAGAGTACCGTCACATAACAATGGGTCTTGATCTGGTCCATCCAAAAATTGCTAACTTTACCAGTTCTGCCCAGAAGCTCTTGAACAGCTTTTAATGTGAAGGGGCGCAGAAAGTTATCAATTCGGAGTGAATTGGTGGGTGTTTTAGCTGATGGTGGTACTGCAATTTCAAAATGAAAAATTAAGCACTTCTAACACTCAAACTAATGCAACTGGAATTACCAAACATGTATTTGATATGCACTAACCAATGCGTTCCTTTGGTGCAACTTCCTCGAGGGTAGAGTCAGATACAGCGACATTAGGCTTTTCTGAAACAGCCAGATATACACTATTCGGTGTGGTAGTAACCGAAACTCTTGAGTTTTGTTGTTCTGGAACTTTAACATATTCACTATTCCACCTACGCTGTCTCTTTGGAGGTGCGTTCTCATCAGCTACTGTTGCTGCTGCTTTAACCAAAGACCATTTATATAGCACAAGTATGAAAACCAAAATTTACTAGAAATAACAGAGTAATATACAGTGGCTCGGCCATTGCCTTATCTAGTGGGATATGATGGTATAAAAAGCAGTCTTAAACAACAGGATAGCTAAAATAAAATAACAAATACATTTAAACAGAGATTTGAGCAATTGCAATTTAGTTAAACAACATATAGCAGCTCAAAATAACAAGATAATGTGTACAAAACAACAAGATAACAGAATAACAGAAAAAAATGACAACGGAATACAATTAAAAAGAACATATGGTGGAAGCAATTGCTATTTTGATAACAACATATAGTTTTTCAATAAACCAATACCTTTTAATTTGATTAGTCAGTGTTGTCAGTAATGGAAATTATATCTTCCTTTAGTTTTCTAAATAGAGAATTGCACGAATGCAATCTATGGTTCATGCGACCTGCACTTTTTCTCAATTGATCACAAACAGAATTTCATTAGGATATGGCGAGATTTCACTTTGAACACATAGCTTATAACTTTTCAATATATCATAGCAAAATTGTTACTACCTTTTCTTGGAAAATCATATTAAACCTATTTCTAAATATGGTAGTGCAAGACTATAATAAAGCTCACGCCATCACTTAAAATCACATTGTCTCTAAATTGCAAAAATTCACTTTAAACAGATCAATTATTTTCCAGTTTCAAAGGCAGGCTTTTAAATCATTCTTTATTCCAAAACCCCGATAAAAACCTTCATTAAATACAGCAAGATACATTTAAAACATTCTCTTGAGGTTACTAGATGTCTTTTAAACACCAAACTGCAAAAGGTTAGAAGTTTATAGACAAGAGCACTATTTGTGTTCCACTGTACAAATACAGGCACTTAATCTATCTTTATTCCAGAATTTCAATAATTTTTGTCTATCCTCCATAACAAGCATCACAACATGGAATCTTTCAAATCTATCACATTATTGACTTCATCAATAGATTATGGATGTATATAAGATAATGAATAATCAACAATGAATAGACATATTACCTTGAAACCTTCTCTTCTCAGAAACAGAAGCCACCTTATTCTTATTCTCATTTTCAAGAGAAGGTTCCAACTTGTCTAAAGGAATATCAGAAGCAACCTTATTCTCATTTTCAAGAGAAGGTTCCAACTTATCAGAAGGGAAATCAGTATGCACAGCATCAATGCTGCCACTTTCTACTGTACCAGAATTATCCAGTGGCTCAGCTTTTTTGCTAATTTCAGCATCATTTTGATCAGAGACAAAATGCCTCGCCTCCGATACATCCTCCTCCATGGAATCATCAGCTGAAGATTGCTCTAAATTTATTTTTTCCAGGTGATCCCCATCAGGGACTTTTGCTATTTTGCCGAAACCAAAATCTGGCGATTTATTCTCTAATTGTAAGGAAAAGCAGAAAAAGGAGGGGTATATGAGATCAGTTTATATAAAACAGAAAGATGATATATTGTGGTTACAAAACCTTACCTTGTGAATTTCCATTCTTCACAGAATCAGCAAAGCCAAATTTCTCTTCAGCAGAAGATTCCATCCTTTCTGGCTCAGCCGCATGCTCTGGACTGCTATATTTTGTTATGGTCACATGAGTTAGCTTATTATCTTCCCCTACCTTATCTGAAATGTTAATATCTGAATTAACATTTTTATGGCTAACTTCCATGTTTCTAGATTTTTCATCATCATCTTCTCCAACAAAACCCTGATTAACACCTGGCATTCTATCATCCAAGCGATGAAAAATGTCATTATGTGAAAGGTTTTCGCTGGAAGATGGTTGCACCAGTTCTGTCCTAGCAACTTCTGGTTCTAATTGGACATTATCAGCATTCAAATTATCTTTTAGTTCTTTTTTTTCATTAAATGACAAAGTATCAGTAGAAATTGATTCAGATTTCACCTGAAACTCTATATTAGGGCTGACCTCATGCAACTGGTTGCTTGGGTAGGACACACCATGCAGTTGGTTGCTAGAGTAGGACACGTCGCATTCAGTATCCATCTGCAAAGGCTTGAAAATTTCTTTCTTCACCTGACAATCCTGGATTTCTATTGGTTTCTCTCCAGATGGAATTAATGTTGCACAAATATTGTTACCGTCTACCTTAGTGTTGGTATCCTGAAGTGTTCTATCAGAGGACGTGATCTGGGCACTCACAGCCACAGGAAAAATGCCAACGCTTTCAACAGACGCTACCACCATCCCTGGTTCCTCAACAAGATTATCATCATTCTTGCCATGCTTCAAAACCTCGATCCCAGACTCCCCTTTGTTCTTTTCAAGTGCTTCCTTACTGGATGACTTCAATACGTCATTGTCCGCGGTAATGTCACTGTCATTTAGTCTTTGCTTGCTGGACATCGTCAGATTACCAACAGCCACATTAGCAATGTCACTGCTCTCCATGGAGGCATCTAAATCTCTTGGTTCCCCAATCAGAACAGCATCATTCTGCAATGTCTTCACAATTTCATCCTCTTCAAGCTTATTGGTTTCATGTGCTCCCTCAGCAGAAGTTGGCTGGGCTGCGGTTACACTGATAGTGCTATTAGGATCAATAGGTTCACTCTCGTGATCTAAATTCTCACCTTTTTGCGTGTCTAAAGTTGCCCACTCAATTCGAATCGCTTCGTCCAGTCGATTTACCAAGTCATCCTTCAATCCAGTTATCTTCAGGTTTCGTCTTTTAAGCTCTTCCTTCAACTCAGTCACCTTCCACTTATTGATTGGGCGGTTATCAAGAATAGGGTATTGAGTTGACATCTTTCCTACTCATCAACCCTGTGAAGAAACCCTTTTCATTGACCAATTCATGCAGTACCTCTATGAGTAACTTAAAAATATCCTTTACAAAGAAATATAAAGACTCGATTGTGTTGCGTTACGAGAAAATTAAGATGCTTGAAGTAAAAGGTCAACAACCTACCAATTCATCTTGGTAATAGCATATGACACTACACCCTAAATTCGCATCAAATCCTGCATGCTAAATTTTAAATGTAAAAGATTCCACAAAGAAATGCACCCTCCTAAATATGATCAATAAACGCCGAAAGAGACATTTAATTTTTAGTTTCTCATTAGCACACTCCAATATACTCAAATATATAAAAGAAAAATGGCTTCAGCCAGCAATCACCAAAAATAATTAGATTAATATTCCAGAGCAAACAAGCTGAAAACTTGAAGATTTATTTGGTAAAAGGTCTTCTTTCGATTTTCCTAATTAAACAATATGAAGAGTAAGCATTTCATCTCCTAATGATGTAATGAAATTTGCACAATTGTCCATCACATGCACACCGGTTCGCCACAAGAAATTATATTTTTGCATGCACTATTAGATTCACACTAGTATGTTCCATTTTCAAAAATAAATGCCATAGGTACAGAAAATTGAAAAAAAAAAAGGTCGGCAAATACTCACGAGTGCAGAGAGAGCAGAGAATGAGAGCCTTCGTTTCTCCAAAGTACTGTGAGGAACCTTAATTCCAATAAAACAACAAACCCGTTGCTGGATCAGAAAAATCGATTAAAACACATTTCAAAACAAAATCTCAACCCTTCAGAAAAACGCTCAAGTTAAAATTAATTAAGATAAATAAAAACAGTACCGTAAATTATTAGGAAAAATCTATTTTTGCCAAGGAGGAAATGAATCAAAGAAGGAATAGGAGAAAATTAGAAGGATTGGATAGTTGAAGGTGAATCGGTTAAAAATATTTCAACAAATTAAAATTTTATGATCTAGGGTTTCGTAACGAGAGACATAAGGTACAGGATAAGTATATAGAGAGAGGAGTGATATCCGGTGAAATTTTGCCACTTGTAGAGTCGGATCTTAGCCCGAAAATCGTATACGGTATGCAGATCCAGTAGATAAGTTGTTCAATGTGTACGTATTCTAGAAATTTCCTGAACGGGGTCAAAGCAATTCTCAAAAGTAAAAAAATAATCAAAATTATTTGGGTTTTGATATGTGTACACCAGGTTGATAAATTATTTAGAGCACGTATATAGCGGTATCAAAATTAATAATTTTTTTAATAATGATTTTCAACTTTTTCTTTTTAAAACAATATACTTTTTAAAAATTATAATGCTTTAGAATGAGACATTCACAGTTTAGCCCCTATTGGTAATTATTTTG